AAGTCTCATAAGGCAGCTTTGAGGTAGCTAAGCTGTGTGAGAAGTCTCATAAGGCAGCTTTGAGGTAGCTAAGCTGTGTGAGAGAAATGTATACTTTTCCCATGAAGGAACAAACTCAGTACACAAAGCTCTGTCTCTGCAGAGACAGTCGTTCATTTAAAACTTATTTATTTGTACAAGTAATCATTTAGTTTTTGACCATAACACCATGAAGGAACAAACAAAATTTCTTGCTCTTGGAAGAGTTTTCATTTTATTGTAAAAGTTACTAACTTCTTTCTGTTTTAAATAAGCATATATTTTTTTAAAAAAAATTACAGTTTTTAACTTTCAAATGGTAATGCGCCTCCTGAAGGCCAACTAAAGGCTGTTTCTTTTGTTCTTTTGTTTGTTTGTTTATTTCAGTCTGTGGGGTATACATTCTTTGAAACTATCCTTCATTAATGAACTATTCGTGATGACCAATAAACTTTACTGGAGATAGTCACTTGCTTTATAAGTAGTCAGTTCTGGCTCAGAGTTCAACTGTCGTTTCTCAAATACAAAGAAGAAAAGGAGGTTAATGTTGTAAAATCGATCCATTCTAGGGAAGGGTTTTGTCCTGTGTGCTATAGGTAGGGGAACATCTGGGCTGTGGAAATTTTATAATTGAAAAACACTGAAGTTCTAACCAGAGCTGTATGGTTGGAATGAAAGAAGCAGATGCCCCCAAGGAAAAAGGTGCCATTTAAGGGATAAGTATCCCAGAATTGCACAGAGTAAATGTTTCCTAGTCTACTTTGATTAAGGTTAAAAATAAAATAACCACACATCATCTTAATATAATTTGCTTTTCTATGAAATTTGAAAAGAGCATTTTTATACAATATGGCAACAATACCTACAAGACTATGAATAGAAATGGCTTTGTAGTTAATAAATGATGTTCATAAACATTAGAGAAGAAAATACAGATACTTAAGAAAGCAGAGGGTGAAGTTTGGAAAATATAACACACACACACACACACACACACACACACACACACAATAACTTTGAACTCCCAAACTGTCAGAAAAAAAAAAAAAATAAAATAAGTTCTACTGGATTTTATTCTCAGCAATAAAATTTAGAGTGAGCAGAAAGATATTTTCTGTATGGAAGGAAAGAAGATAACCTTAGTAAGCAATAATATTTAAAGTTTTATATATTTGTAGTTAAAATAAAATAAAAACTTCATTCTTTGGCAAAGATATGTTGTTGTAGAGAAAATGTTAGCATTTCTTTGTAGAATTTTTGTTTAAAAAAAGGACTGCTGGACAGTTAGTAACATTAAGCAAATATTTATTCAACTTTTGTAAATATCTTGATGCTAAAAGACCATACTCTTCTTACACAACGTTCACAACCTACAATTTAAGGAATTGACAGTTCTGTAAAATCTACACTTACGAAATATGTGTTGATTATTAAAATGCACAGAGACATTCCTAATTATGCATACATAAGATATGTGTCTTAGCATTTAGTCCTTACATTTATATTTAGAGATGCACATGATAACCAGTTACCCAAAATGAGACTAAATTTGCAAAATTCAGTAATATCAATATTCACATTTAAACATTTCTACAAACTAATAGTAAAATTAATTTAATCACTTGTTCAAAATGCAACCTCAAAGGCTTTACATGATAGCATACTTAAAAGATTGTTTGATTTCATATTCTATTAAATATTTTTATTTAATTTGTCAAATACAGGTTAGTGTCACTAATTAAAAAACAAACTATGAAGCATAATAGAGAAACCAGTGGAATCTCCAGAAACTCTCTTTCTAAAATGTACAACCTCAAGAATAATAGCAATGCCAGGCCAAGCATATGGCAAAAGCCTTTAGTCACAGTACTAAGGTGACAGATGTAGGTGGGTCTGTCTGAGTTTCAAGCCAGCCAGGTCAATTTAGTGAGATTCAGACCATCCCAGGCCATCACAGAGTGAGACTTGTGGTGCACATGTTTTTACTTCCACCACTCAGAAGACAGAGGCAGTGGATCTCTATGAGTTCGAGGCCAGCCTGGTCTACAGCGTGAGTTCCAGGACAGCCAGGGCTACACTGAAAAAAAACCTGTCTCCTTTGTTGGAAGGGGAATGTGAGGGGGAGGTGAGGTGGAGGTGGGTGGATGGATAAGGGGGGTGGGTGGGGAAGTACCCTCTCAGAGGCAAAAGAGAGGGGGGGTTGGGGTGAAGAACTCTTGAAAGGTGTACCAGGAAGGGGGGCAATATTCAGAATGTAAATAAATAAGCAAGAGAAAGAAAAAAGAAAAAATCCCTTTCTCTGAAAACAAAACAAAAAAAGAACAAAAAAAGAAAGAAAGAAAGAAAGAAAGAAAGAAAGGAAAAGAAAAGAAAAGAAAAGAAAAAGAAAGGAGAAGTGAATTGGTGGTTTAGCTTAGTGGTTTAGTTTGCCTAACATGCATGAGACACTGGATTCCACTTCCAGGCACTATTATAAAAGTAAGAGCATAAGCTTCTGTCAATATATATCAATAGCATGCAGATATAGGTTAAAAGATATTTCTAACCTTAGACAGAATATACTAGTACACTAAAGTATTTAGATGAATAGGAAGCTATTCCGAAGAGTAGAACTTTCCTCTGTGTTCCTCTCAGATGCCACAGAAGGAAAATGGGGGTTAATTGCTTTTCGCAGTTTGAACTCACCAGTCCCAGTGTCTCCCCTCAGACACACCTCATACTGGTAGCTCTGGGAAAGAGTCCCAGCGCTGCTGACATCCACCAGATGGCCAGGAAAGTGTCCATCAGGCACAGAGTAGCCACCCAGAGAGGCCGCCCTGGCCCTCTTGCACAGCCTCACCCCCACGAACAGCACCACAGACAAGAGGAAGAGCGAAGACACAGATGCTAAGGCGATAACCAGGTATAGCGTGAGCACATCTTCAATATCCTCTACGGAGTCCTGCGCCACCTCTGGCAGTGGCAGGTAGGGCTGAGAGAAGCCATCCACCAGTAGCACGTGCAGTGTGACACTGGCAGAGCGCGGGGGATCGCCATTGTCCTTGACCAGCAGCACCAGCCTGTGCTTGGGCACATCGCGCTCGCTCAGTAGCCTTGTGGTGCGCACCTCGCCATTGTGCGCCCACACGCTGAACAGCCCTGGCTCTGTGGCCTTGAGCAATTGGAAAGACAGCCAGGCGTTCTGGCCAGAGTCGCGGTCCACTGCCACCATCTTGGTGACCAGGTAGCCAGGCTCTGCTGTCCTAGGCAGCAGCTCTGTGCAGGGCTCAGAGGAATTCTGCAGCGGGTAGAGCAGGAAGGGTGCATTGTCATTGTCATCCAGCACTAGCACGCGCACCAGTGCTTGGCTGCTGAGTGCCGGAGAGCCTCGGTCTGTGGCGTCCACGCGGAACTCGAAGGCCTGCAGGGCCTCATAGTCCAGTGCCCTGAGCGCAAACAGCTGGCCATTTTCTGCGTTAACGGAGATGAGCGAGTCGAGGGCCAGCTGTGGGTCGTTGGGTGGCAGCAGCGAGTAGGTGATGTGGGCATTGGAGCCTGAGTCTGAGTCTGTGGCACTGATGGTGCCTATGTGCAGGGCGGGGCTGTTGTTCTCACGGACGAACAGGGTGTAGAAAGTTTGGTTGAAGACAGGGGCATTGTCGTTGATGTCGGACACCTGCACTGTTATGGTGTGCTGGGTTGTGAGCCTGGGTGTGCCCATGTCGGTGGCTGTAATGGTGATGATGTATTCAGCTCTGCTCTCTCTGTCTAGTGCCCCATCTGTTTCCAGAGTATAGAAATTCTCCATAGATGGTCTTAGAAGAAATGGAAGATTGCGATCTATGGAACACATAACCTGCTGGTTATTTCCTGAGTCCGCATCTGAAACGCTGAATACTGCCACTATGATACCTGGCAAATTTTCAGGGATGGGGCTGTTGAGAGAGGATAGGATCACTTCCGGAGCATTATCATTTACGTCCAATACTTGGATGACTAAAGAGCATTTTCCTGTTAGCCCGCCACCATCTAGGGCCTCGACATCCACATGGTAAAACTGTAATGCTTCAAAATCCAAGGTGCTTTTCAGTCGAATTTCTCCTGTCTTTGTGTTTATTTCAAAAGGCTCATTAGCGTCATCATCTTGAGACAGTGCATAAGACACCTCCCCAAAGGATCCTGTATCTAAATCTTTGGCCGAGACGACAATAAGCAGTGAGCCAATGGGGTTATTCTCAGGGACTTGGACCTCATAGAGCTCCTGAGCAAATTCGGGCGCGTTGTCGTTTATATCTAAGACTAATATTTGAATCTCTGTGGTCCCTGACCTGGGCGGGGACCCACCATCCACCGCGGTGAGCTTTAGTCTGAGCTGGGCCTGCTCCTCACGGTCCAACGCCTTGTCCAACACCAGTTCAGGGAACTTCTTGCCATCGCTTCGGTTGCGGGTGAGCACGTGGAAGTGAGGGTTATCACTGACAGAGTAGCTTTGAATGCTGTGGCTGCCAGCATCTAAGTCCTGTGCCATTTTCAAAGGGAATATTTTTCCAGGTGGAGTTATTTCTGATATTTTAAGGAGCATTTCTCTGGCAGGAAACTCTGGGGCGTGGTCATTTATATCTACAACTCTCAGTTCAGCTTGATAAAACTGCAAAGGATTTTTTAGTAACACCCGGAAAGACAGAACACAGGGCTCTGTGGAGCCACACAGCTCCTCCCGGTCCAGGTTTTCGTTTAGCACTAAATCCTGGGTCTGTGGGTCAAGCTGCAAATACTGTCTGTTCCCCTTGAAAACCACTCTAGCCTCCCGAGCAGCCAGTTCTCCCATCCTTAGTCCCAAATCCTTAGTCAGGTTGCCCACAAACGTGCCACTTTCTGTCTCCTCCAGCATGGCATACTGAATTGATTCTGAATCCACCTCCCACAAAAGCATCGATGTAATCAAAATCATCACTTGCCTTGTCTCGCACCGTACTTTCTTGTGTGACGACATCTCTATTGGCTGATTCCAGAGGGAAAGATCCCTTCCCCGCTCTTAATCACCGAGGTAACTTTGGCCTTCCAGAAAACCTTTGCTGTGGAATTGTGGATTTGATTTTACAAGTTCCTGGTGACTCCTCTTCGCCGGAATGCTTAGCTGCAGCAGCAAATGGTTCCGTATTTTTGCTTCAGCTTCTAGGTGAAGCAGAGTCTGAGGAAGCTGAAGGATTCTTACTCATTCTCTTAGCCTACACCGCCACCATGCGTTCAAATCGATAACGTCATGAGAAATCTTCAGCTCAACACTGAGCATTATAAAGACTTATATCCAAGTCTGGGCATTATAAAGACTTTTGAGTTAGTGCTTCCAAACTGAGTGTGTGAAGGGTTTCTTAGGAAACTTGTTTGTCTGTACATACTTGTGTTTTGTTTTTAGGTTGGTTTTCAAGACCACTCTATATCTTGAATCCAACTGCTTGCTGATCTAAGGGAAGTCACACCACAGTCTTTCATATATTTACAAACCATTCTCTCTGGCCATAATCAACTTCCCATAATCAACTATGGTTCTTTAACAGTTCAACTGATCACTGATGAGTTCTATAAATTCATGAGTTTAAGATGTACACTGTTTAATTGTTTCAATAAACACATCAACAAATTATTGAAAACGTGAACATTGGTCAGAAACATAAATGTTGAACTAAACATTAACTTCTCTAAAATACATGACTCATTTTGTTACAAGGCCACATGAGGACAGTCATGGTAATCATTAGGCCACTGAGAAGAAAACTGCAGCCAAAAGGTACATATGATAGCAATATTTAAACAAAATGAATAATTTAAAATAGGGATGAGGAGAAATAAATATTTGTCATAAGAACTTTAAGATTTAACTTCATTTTTAGGTGAGTAGAATTGGTCATTGTTTTGAGAGATTCAGGAGTTTTATTATAACTTCTCATTGGACAAAACATCCTCATGTTGATTGATGAAAGTCCAAATATATTATTCTATTGTAATCTATGACATGATGCAGACAATGACATTCAAGGACTACCTCTACTCTTGAGCAGTGGTGCATAACTGTAATCCCAGAACCTGGGAGTCCAAGACAGAAGGACAGCAAGGTCAAGGCAAGCGTAGGCTATATAAAGACTATGTCTCAAGAAACAACAAATAGAAATGCACATGATGTGAAAGGGATTACAGTTAAAAATACCATGGATTGAATGACTGCATATCATGGTTCTATTCTGTTACTGTCTTGGTCTTTTCTGATAAATTCAAAAGTGTCTTGAAGTATCATTTAAAATGTGGGTAAGTTCCCATACAAGAACATAATATATGACATATATGATAAATATGATTAGTTCCTGATGGATTTTGTATTTATTTAAAGATAAATTTATTGAAGTCAAGCAAACTTTACTTCACATAACAGCCAAGACAATGAAAGGTGAGAAATTAGAATATATTACAAATGTTTCAAGTCTTAGTAAAGCAAATTTAAAATCTGATGCTTGAAATCATCTTAAAGCTAGAAATTACATGTGTATACTCAATGGAATAAAGAGAATATCAACATTACAACCCTCCAGGGTTTATTAGAAAAACAGTTTCTGAGTATAGACGTTTCTTGGGCATATGAGTAACAAATGGAACTAACGAAGTAAAACCAACTTTCAAATATTGTGGATCAGTTTGGTTGTTGCTAGATCATTTCTAAATGTTTCTTTTGAATGGGGTCATGGTTAGTCATTGTTGTCAACTTAATTTTGGTACACACAAGATTGGTCAGTCTTACCTCCTACAGTGTCTGTGAAGTGTTCCCTAGAGAGAACTGAGGGAAGAAACCCACACTACATGTGGACAGTAGCATCCCCTAGGCCAGAGTCAGAATCAGAGAGAAAACAGAGAAAGAACACCAGGTAAGCAAACTCTCCTCTAGGTTCTAGTCACCTCAACAGGTGCTCCTCCTTCAGTGACGGGCTGAAACCTTGAGCCAAAATGAATGCTTCTTCCCTTGTTTTCTTACACATTCAATCACAGTGAGCGTCAGGCTAACAGTGGTGTTCTCAGTTCTGATTCCAGGTTAATGACATATTATCTCACAAATTACTTTATTCACTCTCTGTGGCTACGGTGGCACCAGGTGTCTTCAAAAATGGCTTACAGAGTATTCCCAAAGTTAAAACAAATTTTATCAGCTTTACAGCATGCATTGAACTCAATCTAGACAAAGAAAAGTTCCTTAAGAATGTTGGTACTTAAGTGAGGTAGTATATTTCATATTGCCTTCCACACAAAAAAAATCTGGGATGCTAACAATTCAGCTGATAATGGTTTAAAATTTATTTCCTAGTAATAAACAAGTTTATTATAAAGAATTGTTTGAAAGTGCTTTTAAGATGGGAGGATGTTTTGATGGTAAAAGCACTTGTCTATACAAGCATAAAGACCCTGGTTCAAATCCCAGTACTCCTCTAGGGAGATGGGAAGCAGACACAAGAGAATCCCTAGAAGCTCTAGGGTCATCTAGGCTGGTGAATACATCAGAAAAACCACAAGAGGACCCTGACTGAAATAAGGTGGAAGACTATCTCAAGGTGTCTTCTGACCTCCATGCAAATGCCTTATTCCACACATGCATACACTGTACACACACACACACACACACACACACACACACACATACACACACACACGGTGCTTGCCAATTAGACCAGGTTTTGGCAAGAATGTGGACAAAGTTGTATGTGCAAGTATTGCTACTTGTAAAGTAAGTTGGTGTCGGACCCTGAAGGGTTGCTATGCCCTGGCTGAGACTTTCCATGTGCTGCTGTCCACTAAGTAACATTCTGGGGTTCCTCTAAGATCAAAACATCCTGACTAAGGCTTGTGCCCCAGGAAGGGAATTTATACTTGACATCCTATTGTCCCCTAGTTGAGTTCCTGTTTTTCCTGAGTTTGTGTTTTTCCTTTACTGACTTGGTGTATGTATTGAACCTGCCCAGTAAAGGCATTGGCATTCTCTCATAACGGATGACCCGAGTCTGAGTATTTCTTTAATCTGCCAGGCCTACGCCCGAGCTTGGTACCGCAGCCAGTGCTGGAACAGTCAAGTTGGTGCAACCAATCTTGAAATATAGTTGGAGATATCTATTAAAATTTTACTTATACAACTCTACCCCAAAGTGAATGTTCATCACAAATGCAAATATGCATCTAACCGAAATATATATGTAAAATTGTACATAGTATTATTTATAACAACCAAAATTACACAAAGACAAATGAATAATTTAGTAATAAAGTGTGAAGTGCACAACTAGAATAATAATTTATGACAAAAATTATAAAATAACCAACATTAAAGCAGTATTATGCATACATTTAATAAACACAAAATAGAATCAAAGAAGCAACTGGTAACCTACAAGAAATTTACATGAACTCAAAAGAGGCAAGACTATAGAATTGGAAGTCAGCATGCTTGCTACACTTTGGCCAATTGTGGTTGTGAAGGGTCATTTGAGTGGCACCTGGAATGTTTCATTTTTTCATTGCAATGATGGCATGGCATGTTCTTACTTTATGAAAACACATTTAGGTGAACATTAAGGGTTTTTTGTCATGTTATAATTTGACTTAAAGCCTTAACATTTTTTTTTGATCACAGACATCAATACAAGAAAAACAAACAAAACAAAGCAAAATAAAACAAAAAAAGCCCATAACTATCCTATTGCTTTCTCAGATATTGGGCAGAACATCATTTATATTCATTCCACCAACAATGAATTAAATAAAGAGAATGCTGTATGTTTCCATTTCTACTTAGCATCAAAAATAAGGTCAAGAAATAAAGTGGCTAGAATAAACAGAAAATATGACTAGTATTTGATTTTTATTGAGGCAGTTCAACACAGCTGAGCCTACTCATGCATGCTCATAATCCCCACATAGGGTAACAGAAGCAGATGGATTGCCACAAATTGAAACTCAGTCTGTACATAGCCATTTCAGATCAGACAGGGCTACAATGTAAGACCCTGTCTGAAATAACAAAAACAAAACAAGGCATCTCTAACAATGAAAGCAGTTTCAATTCCTTACAGCAAATATAAGTTCCCACCACAAGCAATATTATAATTGTAAACAACAAGCATGCATCGGTATGGTATAGAAATATAAACAAACACAATGCAGTAGAACCAAATTCTCTAGAGTGGCATCACATATGAACAGTTTAATCCAAAACGAAGGATAAATTAAACATATATCTCAGGAGTTGATTCATGACACTATGCAATTCTACATCAGAGATAGTTAAAGAAAAATGCGGTAACCACCACTTCAAAATAAGCGCCCTAATAAAATTCAACGCTACTGCGAACAGCAGCATTGTCTCTTTCTTCAGCAGCAGCCTGGGTCGGAAGGATAGGAAACAATGGTTTAAGAAAGTTGAACTCATTTGTTCCAGTACCTCCATTAAGACACACCTCATACTGATAATTCTGGGACAGGGTACCCGCTCTACTGACATCCACCAGGTGGCCAGGAAAGTGTCCATCAGGTACAGAGTAGTCACCCAGGGAGGCTGCCTTGGTCCTCCGACACAGCCTCACCCCTACGAACAGCAGCACAAAGAAAAGGAAGAGTGAAGATACAGATGCCAAGGCAATGACTAGGTAGAACGTGAGCACGTCATAATCGTCCTGCGTGGAATCCCGTGCCACGTCTGCCAATGGCAGGTAAGGCTGTGAGAAGCCATCCACCACTAGTACGTGAAGAGTGACACTAGCGGAGCGCAGGGGATCGCCATTGTCCTTTACCAGCAGCAGGAGCTTGTGCTTTGGAACATCTCGTTCACTCAGCAGCCTGGTAGTGCGCACCTCGCCATTGTGAGCCCACACGCTGAATAGCCCCGGCTCAGTAGCCTTGAGTAGCTGGAATGACAGCCAGGCATTCTGGCCAGAGTCGCGATCCACAGCTACTACCTTGGTGACTAGGTAGCCGGGATCAGCTGTCCTGGGTAGTAGCTCGGTACAGGGTGCTGAGGCGTTCTGCAGAGGGTAGAGCACGAAGGGCGCATTGTCATTATAATCCAGCACTACCACACGCACGAGGGCCTGGCTGCTGAGCGGAGGCGAGCCTTGGTCTGTAGCGCCCACGTGGAACTCAAAGGCCTGAAGCGCCTCATAGTCCAGAGCCCTGAGCGCGAACAGCTGTCCGTTGTCTGCGTTGATGGAGATGAGCGAGTCGAGGGCCAGCTGTGGGTCTTGGGGCGGCAGCAGCGAGTAGGTGATGTGGGCATTGGAGCCTGAGTCTGAGTCTGTGGCACTGATGGTGCCTATGTGCAGGGCGGGGCTGTTGTTCTCACGGATGAACATGGTGTAGGAGGTTTGGGTGAAGGCGGGGGCGTTGTCGTTGATGTCAGAGACCTGCACTGTTACGGTGTGCTGGGTTGTGAGCCTGGGTGTGCCCATGTCGGAGACTGTGATGGTGATGTTGTACTCAGCTCTGCTTTCTCTGTCCAGTGGTCCTTCTGTCACTAAACTGTAATAATTCTCAAATGTGGGTTTCAGGAGAAATGGGATATTGTTCTGGATAGAACACACCGTCCTTCCATTGTCCCCCGAATCAGAATCAGAAACACTAAAAACAGCAACTGTAGTCTCTGCAGAATTTTCTGGGACAGGGACTGTGAGCTTCCTGATCACCAACTCTGGGGGATTGTCATTCACATCCAACACCTGTACAGCCACAGTGCATTTTCCTGAAAGGCCCCCTCCATCCGTGGCTGTGATTTCTATGTTATAATGACTAATTCCCTCGAAATCCAGCTCTTTGCTCAGACGGATTTCTCCTGTGACTTTGTCTATTACAAATGGTTGAGCTACTCCATCACTTTGAAACAGAGAATAGGCTACATTGCCATATATCCCAGCATCTAAATCCCTGGCAGAGACTGTGACAACTAAAGCATCAAGGGGGCTGTTCTCAGGAACCTGCACCTCATAGAGTGACTGTATAAATTGGGGGGCATTATCATTGATGTCCACAACTTCAATGTGAACTGTGGTGATCCCAGACCGGGGCGGGGCTCCACCATCCACAGCAATGAGGGTTAAAGTGAGCTCAGGCTGCTCCTCCCTGTCCAGGGCTCTGTCCAGCACCAGCTCTGGGTATTTCCTGCCATCTGAGCGACTGTGAGTAATAACATGGAAATGGAGGTTTGGACTGACTGTATAGTTCTGAACAGCGTTGCTCCCTGTGTCAGGGTCCTGAGCTGCCTTCAGAGGAAACACAGTCCCTGGCTGGGCACTCTCAGGGATTGTTAACAGCATTACTGTGTCAAGGAACTCTGGAGAATGGTCATTTACATCAGTGAGTTGCAGTTCAGTTTGGAAGAACTGCACAGGGTTTTCCAGTATGATCTGGAAGTGCAGTATACAGGGTTCTGTCGCCCCACACAGTGCCTCACGGTCCAGTTTTTCCTTCAAGAACAAATTCTCGGTCTCTGCATCCAGCTGTAAGAGCTCTTTGTTCCCTTTGTAATGGATCTGAGCTCCTCTAGTGGCCAGTTCTCCAACCCTGAGCCCCAGATCTTTTGCCAGGTTTGTCACCGAGTAGCCACTCTCTGTTTCTTCTGGTATGGAATATCTAATTGCCTCAGAGCCTGATTCCCACAATACAAACAATATAGTAAGAAAAACGACTTGCCTTTGCTGTGCTGTTTTTGCTAGCAGTGTCTCCATTGTTCAGATTCAGTCCAAAGGTTGCTGCTTCTTCAAGTGGATTACAATCCACTTGTGAGGGTCCGTGAAGATACTGGAGTAAATCCGATTAAAAAGATGACTTCTTCCCAAATGATCACATAAACCCTACCCAATTACCTCCACCTCCAAAGCTTCCGGAATTCTGCTTTTCAGGTTAATGAAATGACTTCCTGGGAGTCTGCATAGCCCATTCTTCATATTCTTAGCCTGCAGCGCCACCAAGTGTCCTTATTTCCTCTTACATTTCACTTTGTCATTCCAACCCTCATTTTAAAACCTGGTGTGTTTCAGTATTGTTTTAATTTACACAGGCAGCTTGAATTGTGAGCTCAGTTCTTAGCAACCAGATATTCTACATATAATTTTGATGAATTAAGTTTCGGCTATAAGAATATATTTTATTTTCATTTTTAATTAGTTTTTGATCACTTTTGTAAAGAATGCCACCATTTGGATTTTTGAGACATACACCCTCAAAGGCTCCTCTGTGCAGGGTTTGCTCCCTGTGATTTAATATTATATAGAAAAAGGACAAGAGATCTGACCACAGTGATGGCTGGTATCAACCCTGTGGCTTTAAGACTCAGAAGAAGCCATGTTTCAGCTCCTGCCTGGCTCACAAGTCTGCTACACTAGAAGGGAGTAAAGGAGCTGTAATACTTGAGGAGATTCTTGTCTGTACCGTTTAGAATTTTCTTGTCTGCCATATTCACCACCTGGCCAGGGGCAAGACCAAAGAAAATTTGTCTTGGATCCTTCCATATGCTGAGCATCCTGAAGAGTTCATCGTTTGTGATAACAGGAAGAACATAGCCAAACTTCTATGTGAATTCAAGTCTTGCTCCAGGAAACTTGGCAGGGTTGGCCAGGTACCCCAGTTTTTATTTAGGGCACCAGCACTTCATGTAGGAGCATTTGTTTCGGAATATGTTGTCCCCGCAGAAAGCATGGTACAGGCTTGTACAAAATCTCCAGACTTCGTGGATCATAAGAGGCTGTAGTAACACCACCACCACGTTTTCAATTGTAGCAATTGAAGCCAACTGCACCTCAATATTTACTGGTGCTTGAAAAATATCAGCACCCTCTTCAACCAGCTGTACCCCACAATTACTTTTAACTGCTTGGATGGTCACACCTCTCCGATTCACAATTGTGTTAGGTCAATAAGTTGTGTTGGATCAACTTGACCGAAATCAATGAGATATTGTAGTCTCCTGAGATTTAAAGGCTGGTACTGGTGCGTGAAACTATATCCTTCATTAAATCCATATTTTGGGATTCAGATGTAAAATGGAGTCTGCCCTCCCTCAAAGCCAAGGTGAGGCTGGGTTTCTCTCTGCTTTTCTCCTTTATGGCCTCTGCCACATTTCTTCCTTCTTCTCCCGTCTCTTGGGTGTATTCCTTGTTTCTGGGAATTAGGGTTGGACTTCAGGTTATGCAGAATCACTCATAACAAGGACCACCACAGCTCCAGGTTGGCCCTGCTGCTGTGTACCACGCCAGCCATGAATCTTTTTCAGGGGCCAAGAATACATTTAAATACATTTTCAAACAAACTAAAAGACAATTATTTGTTTTTATAAGACTATTGAGTAGACAAATCCACTTTCTTGTGTAAGTTTTAAATTTTATTTTGTTCAAGAAGGTAAACATGATAGATACATAGAAGAATTAATTATACACTTTTTAAATTTGCTTTGAAATCTACCATACATCCAGGAGGAAAAAGTGATAATTGTATACCCATTGAACTTTTATGTTATTTAGCTCAACTTAGACACTAAATAAAATAGGCTAAATTCCAAGAGAATCTGCCCTTTTGTTGTTTACTTCTCTAAATGGTGAGCACTCTTCATGTGTAATTGTACTAAGACCATTGAAGCGTGAGAGTTCCGGTTGCTCCACATTTCTGTTAGCGCTTGGTGTCGTCATCTCAATTTCTAGAGCATTATTGAGTGTGTTGTGACTTAATAGGATAAATTTAATTAGCATTTGTCTGTCATTTATGAAATTTTGTACATTTTCATGTTTATTGGCCATCAGGTTGCTATCTTCTGTTCATGTCATTCATGTGTGTGTGTGTGTGTGTGTGTGTGTATGTGTTGCTTGTTGGTTTGAAGAAGTATCTTGTATATTCTGTGTACAATTTCTTTTTCATATATATATGTTCAAATATTTCCCACTGTATGTCTTGAATTTTGTTGATATACTGTACTTTAATCAATAAAACATCTTAATTGTGTTTAGTTTAGCCTTACAATTTTGTTTAGTACCTTTAAATCTTCATAATTCAGTTCAATACAGATATTCATTTTTAATATGTGTATATCATGGAGTCTTGTGGAAGAGTGTGGCATAGAATTGAGTGGGGAATAGCTGGAGGGTCAAGACACATACAGAGTAACTAACCTAGGCTCCTGGGAACTCATAGAGGCTGGGCCACCAACCAGGGAGCATGCAGAGCCTCGACCTAGGCCCCCTACACATTTGTAGCAAATGTGCAGCTTGATCTTCATGTGGGATTTCTAACAAGTGGAGTGGGGCTGTCTCCATCTGTTCCCTGCCACTGGATCCCCTCCTCCCTACCTGGACTGCCTGGTTGGGCCTCAGTGGGAGAGGATGTGCCTAGTCATGATGGAACAAGATGTCCCAGGGTGGGGTGGTACCCGAGGGGGGCTTCCCCTTCTCTGAGAAGAGGAGTGGGCAATGGGGAAAGAGATTTGTAAGGGAGACTTCGAGGAGGGAGGGGGTTGTGATTGGAATGTAAATGAATAAAAATAAGTAAATAAATTCTTGGAGAAAAATATGTATGTATTTTGAAAGTTTCCTTTTCAGACACAAACACATTATATACTTAAAACATGTAATTTTTTATTTCAAAATATCTTTATGCCATGTTACAAAGCTTATGTATCCCTCCCGAGGGTCTATCACTACCCTGTATCAAGGTGGTTACAGGTTTGTCCAATGTTCCAGTTTTCTCTCAGAAGATCATGTAATACTTTTGTTGTCTTCGTTACTCCAGACTCATCACAGATTTTGCTGAGGGGAAAGTCTCCTCTTTCAAAAGTGTTCATTTTTAATGAGTAATGTTAAAATCACAGAATATGACTGGGAAATGCAGCTATTTCTAACACGCCCTCTCCACACCTGTGCAACATTCCTCATTATAGGTGCCCCAGCACACTAGTCTGTTTCTTACAATTTAGAACCCTACATGTTTACTACTCCGTCCAAATTTTAAATTAAGGTTCCTTCTTGCTGCTTCTGGGCATAGATGAATTTAATCCCACATACACATATTTTTAGACTGTCATAGTTTCACTGTCTCTTCCTGTCTTTAGTTAGTGTTTTTATTGCTGCAGCAAAGCACTATGAGCAAAAAGCAAGG